TTCCCAATGTACTCTCATCTGAGTACTAACCACTTTGATTATGCTTAGTTTGTGGGGTATTAGACAAAGTCAACCAGCTGCTGCCACATGCTGTAGACAAACAGGGTGTCCCTATTATTTCCTGTAATTTGGATCTTATATTTCTGTGAGTGCAATTTAGAACTGTATTAGCCTGGTTAGAGATCCTACTGAATTCAGAGGGCAAGAAACTCAGAGTAATGGGTGAGAAACAAGACATGGGATTGGCTGGCCAAGACCATTTTTCTTCCTTTTATATTTCACCCAGTCCTGCTGTTGGATGTATGTTGGTGTGAGTGGTTTAAGAAAGGTCTTAAGCATTGGATGCTCAAGGGGGCAATATGTTTCAAAATACCATGCCTACAGAACGATGCCAGAATAAGGAGTTGGTATTGTAGGGCATCTGAAACTCCAGCAAAGGCTCCAGCTCAGAGCCCCACATCACCTTCCTTCCTTTCTCCCTTAAGATTTCTACTGCTCACTTGCTTTTGACATGTATATGAGCAATGGCAAGAGTAAGAAAGAGTAGCAACTTTCATTTTTATCTTGCCTTTGTATCTCTGGCAGTGATACAGATTGGGCATAAAGAGAGAAAGTGACAAATGGGCCATGGGGACAGAAGGGAAGAAGTAGGCTGATTTAGGGCACTATGAGCTTCCCAATGCTACTGAGCTGAAAGAAGAGAGGCTCTTGGAAGCAAGTGTTCCCTTCTGCCTTGGTTCTCATTCTTTTATTCTTCTGAGTTCCTGGTCCCTGTACATGAACATTCTTTGCACAGCCTATTACGTATGGAGGAGATGAATCGTGGCCCATGCTCCCAAATTTAGATCTGAGAAATTTGAAATAAACAGCAGGTACATACTAACAATTAACTTCTAATGCACACTTCCTTAATCTGGGAATGAGTTCGAAGTAAAATTCAGTGTCTGCCTGCTGTGGGCAGTATACATTATCCCAATCTCCCTTTCCAGCTGCTTCCACTCATTTCACTGCTATCTTCTCCTTTTGATGTATAAGCAGTCACATAACTCCTTTCCATCTCTTGTATAGCATTGCTATTAATTGGCCACCATCCCTTATAGCAGTCTGTAGATCTATCAAAGCTGTAATTCCCAGAATAATCCCAATACATCTGAAAGGAATCAGGTTGGAGGAGATTGTTCCAAGGATTCACCATTCTTGTCATAGCCACATGCCAAAAACAACACTCCAAACTAAACATTGGCCTGATAATATGGCTGTTCTTATGGCCTTCCTGCAGTGCAAATCTGTTACAACTGTTTCCAAGTTGTTGTTGTTTTCTTCAAGGCAAAAGGTAACAACATTGTCTTAAAAGGAGATAAATTCAAACTTTGCATAGTTAAGTCATGTATGTGGGATTAAAAGAAGAGGCAGGCACAATGATCATTAAGCAGAAGCAGATTTAAAAGGTTGACCACAAAGTAAAAACAAACTAGAAAATTGGCCCTTTTCATGTTATTTATGTATTAACCACAAGTTTGCATCCCTTGCTCTAGCAGCAATAATTTTGACCATGTGGTCACATTGTGGGATCTTATTAGAGATTTTTAGCCACTTCCTATCCCTCAACTGGCTCATACAGACAAGCAAATCTAAAAAATTTTCAGAAACCATGAAGGTTTCAGCAAGGGAAATGCTTTAAAATGACATAACTGGTGTTATAGCACCATACCACAAGAAGTAGACTAAGAGTCCAATCTTCTCCATGTTTACTCAGGAGATAAACTCAGCTGAGTTCAGTGAAAATTGTTACCAAGTATGTATGTTTAGGAATGCAGATTAAGTGTGTCAAACACTATTGTTTTGTTATTAGTTCATTTCCATTATCAACAGTTAAAATAACAGCCTAGTGCAAAATCAGAGTCTCTGGCACATGGAAAGTATAAGCATGCATCTCTGACTTAGCATCAAATTAAAGGTCTCCAGACATCCGCTCAAAAGAATTTTGAACAGCCAAAACACAGTGCAGATGTGAAGATTAGTCTGATGGGCACCCAAATCTTTCTCTTGATTTTTTTTTTCCAAGAGCATATTTTGTTGAGTGAAATCCTGGCAAGGCACCCAGATCCAGACCTCTGCCAAATCAGCCCTGCTGTAACCACAGACCACTTGGGTGGTCTTGCACTAGACTAAAGTGTGTACAGTCTTTCAAACCACATGGTCTAGCAGTCTAATTGGATTGACTCATCTCTTCCTAATTTCAAATGTTTTGCAGCATGAAACTGTAGAGGATCTTCTAGAGAAGACTGTGTTCCACAATGATGGTAAACTCACTGAATCAACAACAAGAATAGCAACTTGGCCATTTCTATTGGTTCTAAGATCTCTAAAATGTACCTGCACAACAAGCTAAAGCTTATTTCCCACTGTTATTTTCCAGTGGATTATTTTTACTGTCAAACAATATATTACTTCCAGAATACATCAAGGCTTTTAAAAAGAATTTCAACATGATTCAGCATGCTGAGTTTGTGAATTTCAATTTAGTTTCAAGTATCGTTCCACAGTAACACATATAAAAAGCATGTGAAGTTTGCTTATGAACATAATTTTGTATACACTGGTGATCTGCACCTACAGTCAGAAAACAGATTCTGCATTTTTGAATACCAAATTTAAGGAATATAGTAGGGATTAATACCACACAGTTTTGATAGGAGTTTTGACTATCATCACACAAATGAACATTTCTGACTATAGGTTTTGGCTCAGAATGAGACTCAATATACACAAGCTTCTTAAGAAAAGGGGCCTTTTTGTTGTTTTTCGTACTACTATCATGAAAATCATTATAGTTTTACCTTAGTCAGTCTACTACCTTTCAGTACCATTCCAGCCCAAGCTTGAAGGTTAAAATTCAAAGAATGGTGTGTACTAAAAACAAGGCAGGAACATTTTGTAGGAACAAAAAGTTTAAAATACCACATTCTGTCCCCAAAGTGTAATTTGCAATCCAAAGGCTGGGTACCCTGATATACTTTAAATAACATTTCAATTTCCCTTGCATACTTTCCTCTTTGATTCCAGCACCTTCTTTTGACTATCTTAGGTTCTCATATAGTGTTCTTGCTTAGACTCTCTTTAAGAAAATGTTACAATGGAATATTTGATTTTGATGGAATAGTTTCATGAGATTCTAGTGCCTGACAGAGACAGCAGTCCAATCACATATTTAGAAATAAATGTTAAACACTACTACAAAGTGACTTCATGCTTTTACTATTTTATATACATGTAGGACCCGTTTGCACAGCATACTTAATTAGGTCAGTGGGAGGATGGGCTTAAATCTTACATAGAATTAAACAAACTAATCGGCCATGTTGTGGAAACACCAATAACCAATCAATTGCCTTTCGTTGCACGACTACAGGTAGCCCTCGTTTAGTGACTGCCTCATTTAGCGACTGTTCACAATTATGACAGTGATGAAAAGGTAACTTTATGACCAATCCTTGCATTTATGACCTATTCAAGTCCGCAAAGCAAAGTAATATCATAAGCACAGTTGTGGTTTCATTTAGTGACCCCTTCACTTAACAACTGAGTTGCTGGTCCCAATTGTGGTCGCTAAACGAGGTCTACCTGCAATCATCCAAGAAAAAGAACTAAAGAGTAGCTGAAAAAGCAAGTCTCTGCATTACAGATTTTACTGTCAAGATCTAGCAGCATAGAGCTTACTTTCAAAATACTGATTGGCTGCAATGACTAAGCCACACCTACTGCTGCCTGCCTGGCCAGTAGAAAAAGGATTAATAGATATTCTCCTACTATAAGAACTTATGGGATACCAACTATTTTCAGGAAAAAAAAAACATGGGCAAGGTTCTGTATTCCAGGAATGGCAACTTTTGATACAGTCACAGTGAGTACAAGCATAAAATGAAATAACCCAATAGAACAATGCCTCTGAGATCTGTTAATACAAAGCTTTTAAAGTGACCTTTAAAAACAATGTATTTCTAGTAAACAAGCACATGGAAAACCCTTAATATGAAACCTATGGGATATCAAATTCTGGTTTCTACTGCAAAGGTATCCTGGGTGTTGTGTATCTCAAGATAAAAAACTGGAACCTTGAACAAAGGTTGACCAACAAACCTTGAACAAAATGTAGACATACGTGGCTATTATGCAGTGAGATCTACAATAACATTCCATGTGGGTGGGAGAAATGGCTATGAAAATTTTTGCCCCAAATATTGACATCAGCAGCATCTGTGTGTGTCTGTGTGTGTTGAAATAAGCAAAATGGTGGTCATGACAGTTCAACCCAAGCCCCGTTTCTTTTTTACATGTGCCAATATCCCCTTGTGGACACTGCTGATTGACCAGATGGCAATCAAGTGAGATTTAGCAACCAAGCAAGAGAGTTACATTTGGAATGCCTTCTAGTATTCTTGGATTAGTTCAGACTGATTTTAGTTAAATCTGTCCATTGTATTTGTCCTGTACTGCATGGAATGGCAATCTATTTTGGACCTGTAGAATTGAAAGACTATCTAGTTACTTTTAAGTTACTTTCCAGTAACTTAAAAACAATGAGAGTTGGAAAAGATCTCTGTGGTTTCATTCCTATTATCCTATTTCCCAATACATAATTTTACACATAGATCAAAGGGGTTTATTCTTGATTTACTTCCCTCCTAGGTCTATTTTTCCATTATTGTCATCTTTGCTACTTTAATAAAGTGAATAAGAATAAAAAAGAGTATATATTTTCACATCATTGTAATAGTCATGAGGTCCCTCATCCCTGCTGTTAAGAATTGTATTTTGAGGAGTATGCTGAGCATTCTCAGTTAATAAAACCTTAGTCTTAGTTGCAAAACCATAGTTCCCAGAGCACCCTAGGAAAAAGGAAATATGGTTAAGACATAGTGTTTACAATTTTAACATCCCGGAAAGCATGAGTTATTAAGTTTCACCACATATGTACAAAAAAACAACACTTTGCTTACTCAGTGTTAGCTCTGAGTCTTGATGGAACTCCAGTTCTGAAAAGGCAAAGAACCATGAATCAAAAGAAACCAAAGACTTAAAAACAAATCCTGTAGAAGGATATATAACAGTGAATGATGGAGCTTTGCTGGAAACTGTTGTGAAATTAAATTGGTTTATGAGCTTCCTTCTATGAAAACTGACTTTAAAGCAAAGTGTGTCCCCTTTTTAATCTATGCTTGGAGATAAGAATGGTAATCATTTTCTTTCCCTCCATAAACTTGGGAAACTCCAATGAAAAATATTTAAGGAAAGGATAAGAACACTAGGCTGTATGATAATTGGACCCAATTTGTTGTATCTAAGTGTCCACTCGTTTACCCCAAACTTTGGGAAATCATTACCATAGAAAATATTCAATAGAAAAACTATAAATTTAGTACGTTTTGCTCCTTTTGTTTAGGTCCTGTAAGATTTAACCCACCTATTTTGAAAAGAAGTAACAATTCCCATTTTTACCCCAAGTGCTGAAAATATGGTTTTACCCTTCCAGTGATAATATTAAGACACTGCTGTACTCCTACAGCCTTTAGTGGGTGAAAGTAATTTAACAAAATAAAAATAAAGTCTAGCTAAATTTCTTAGCTAGAATGGCCAACAGGCATGGTAGCTGCAGAGTTCTGAAAGTTATTGTCCCAGGCATGTAAAGAAAACTAGTTCGGGGAAGCCTATTAAGAAGGATAGCATCCAATTAGAACAAAAATATACAAACACTGGAAAACACTAGCATGAGGAGTTGACTATCTATTTGTAGAAGTGATAAAACAGAGGTTGGGATGATATAAACTGCCCACAGCAGGCAGAAAGTGATGCAAAGAAAGATTAAGTGGGACATATCTAGAGCCCTGGCGTAGAAATTCTCCAGTGCTATAATTTAAAATACATATTGATCTTGTTATGTTAACATACAGGAAGAGGTAATCCAAGATTATAATGATCTTGTTGTGAGAATACATTTCAACTGGAAAGAGTGATGCAAGGGCTTAATCATCTTGGTAACCAATCAAGTGTGCTGTTTGCCATAAAACTAAAAAAGGAAACATTATATGATCAGAACAAACTATTCTGAAGAAACACCAGGAAGATTTGTCTCTAATGAGGGCTGTTTTCCTGCCACTGATTTTATTTTTGTTGATCCAAATCATCAACCAGGTATCCTAACACTCTCACCAATGTAAACTTCTTAAGAGCCATATATGTCTGATGAGTGTCATTTCCTTATTTTTAGGCATTTTCCCAACAACTCTGGAAACCAGCTGAAACATCTTAGAATCTGTCCAGAAATGGACACAGTGTAGACGTGTATTTTGAACTGAGGAGAAAAAGAGAATTTTTACAGCTGTATGTCACTCACATGAGGACAAAAACAACCTCCGAAGCAGCTGTCATTGCTTTTTTAATGATTCAAAGAAAGGTGTGCATAATTGTCACATTCCTATGCATATTTTCTCAGAAGTCAGGACCACTGTAGAATTTCTTCCTTATTACATCCTTTCCTAATATGGAATGTCCCAAATCTTTTAGGCAGCAACACTCAAAACTTTCTTTGGCCATACCAGCTGGAAATTATGAGAGTTGTCATCTAATAAATCTAAAGAGTAACTACCTGTGGAAAGCTGTCCAATTAAGTATGCTAAGGACTGCACTTTCATCTTCTTTCTAACCAAATATTAATATGATACTTGGGGCAATAAATTTCTGCAAATGAAGACTAGAATTGGCCAGATATTAATTTAACACATACTATAGTGTTCAAAGCTTGTACAGAATGGGCTAACCACTTTTCTATTATTTTCAAGCAGCCTAACCCAACAGCTACTCATAGTTGTGGCTTGTCACCAAGCAGTGAGATTTGCTGCTGAACGATCCCTACACATGATTGCTTGGGGATAATGACTAATATGTACAGGAACTGGGACAGTGGATAATAGAATGCAATTCTTAATCTAAGAGTATTCCACAGCACTCTTGAGGCAGAGAGCTGGCGTTAGAAATACTGTTTCAGTTCAATGGCTTATCTATTTGTTTTCCCACTCCTTTTACCTGAGTGATGAAGTGTATAGCATCTAACAAGTACTACAGGCAGAAGATAGAGGTCACAAGAATATACATTAGAAAAATATAACCTCCCTTCCCCTACTTCTCTTCTCTTCAAAAACAAAAAATAACATGGACTTTAGCCTGTCTTCCTTTCTTTCTTTCCTTCCTCCAGATTTTTCTTTTCTTTTCTTCTCTCTCTCTCTCTCTCTTTTGTTTGATGGAGGAGGCAAAAGAACAGTAGCAAAACGTGAGGATCTTCTCCTGTATTAAGAACTTCTACCAACCATGTAGTCCTGCAGCTTTATAGTGCTGTCTGAATAACAACAGCAGTGCTGAAACTGCATCCTAAAACGTGCCAGAACATCAGCCTAAAAACAATACTACCTTTCTTCTTACATTTCATGGTGTCTGACAACTTTCAACCACAGGAAAGCAGCTGCTTTGAAGAAGTTGTTTGCTAAGTCAAAACCTAGCAGGGAGCTTATATGCATTAGCCCTTGGGCTCTAAGCCTGTCAGCGGCTTTTTTTTTTTTTTGGTCCAAAAAAGCTGAATTAGGGTTTTTTGTCAAAACGTGTGTGTATGAATGTGCAGGAGTGGGTGTGTGAGGAGAAGCAGCTCATATGAGTAGATAAGTTTAAATCGGGGACCATAACATAGCAGTTACTAAACCAAACGTGATAAACTTGGAAATCATTGTTAACATTTGGTTGAGTTGAATTCTATATAGTTCTTAAAAAAGAACAAAAAAAAAAAAAAAAAGAGAGTCTAATCCCATTGATTTCAGGCTGCAGGATTAAAGAAGAAATATTTTAAAATTTTGGATAAAATTTTCATGTTCAGCTGTTGTTTCCATTTTTTCTATTGTATCCTCTGTAGATGACAAATTAACTTGATTAATTTGATTTCGTATTTCAGTTTTGAGGCTGCCCGACTTCACAATGACACTGGGCAGCTTACTATTAAAGGAGAATTAAAAAGAAAACAATGTGTATCAAAGTAAGGGAATACAGCCAAGGCAAATTCATCTTTGGGGCCACATGACATTCAGAGTTAGACACAAACAAGGGGGATATGCAGCAAAATATGAATAAAAATGCTTTTGGTTAGACATTGAACATGCATAGCCTTCACCAAACTGTTTTCTGAGTTTCCTCCAAGCCTTTCCCCCCCTGCTTCTGCATCTTACTTATTGCAAACTTGGTGGTTTCCCTAAACATGCTGATGCCTCTTGTGAATGGATGTTGTTTTGGCCACATAAGCACTGGCACTCAGAAAATGAGTCTGCAGTGTTTCTTTCTGTATGTTTGTTTGTGTGTGAGTACACATGTGCAAATTGAGGCTGTGCTGTGCTCCAGAGTTGACTCTCAAAAGGTGCTTCAGAACATGGGGGTTGTGTGAATGTCACATCTGTCTGACAAGCCTTTAAAGCAGCTATCTCTTTTCCTAGGAAAATGTTATTTATAGTATTGCTTATTTTAGCCATCGCTTGCTTGCTTGTTTATTTATGTATGCCTTATTTTGAAATAGTTCGACACAACGTATTATTAAGTAATCCTAAAAAAAGGAGAAACCATTTCAGTGGAATTAGTGTTTGAGAACATCGATATAATGTTAATAAAAACAGTGCAACTTGTTCTAACTTGTTAAGCTTCACAACTCACTTGGTTTCTCCTCCACCAACCTCCTTGCTTTCTGACATGCAATTCCATATTGCTTTTGCCTACCAGCGCTTACATACTTCATTTTCCCTAACTCTTCTGGAATAACTAGGGAACAGACCCTTCTCCAATCTTATTTAGGTGATAGTCCTAAACTTTACTGGCCATGCCCGCTGTGGAAATCAGTTCACCCTTTTGGAAACTCGAAAAGGATTGCGTCTGACCCTGGATTGTGAGCAGGGCAACATGCAGCGTGAGTGCATCTGTATCTATTTAAAACATATGTATACTGCTTCTCATAAAAAAAAAATCTCAAAACAGATTACAATATACAGTACATACACCATTCATTTCGGGAATGGGGGGATGGGGAAGGGAAGCTTTCTCCTTCTCACTCCTGGTCATCCCTGGTTTCATTACTCAGTTTGGGGTATGATTTCTGGAGGGAAGGCCCAGCTTCTCTGTTTCCCTGTCCCTTCGAGCCATCTTGTTCCTGATTCCTGGGTCCCTGCTAATGAACAGTCTGCACCTTGGTGGTGAGAAACAATGAACAGGAATTTTGGAGTCTCTCCAGACCTCAAAAATTGTATTCCTGAGATGCAGGTAGGCTGCTTGAGTTTTGTCTGCATAATGGAAAGTTCTTGAAACACTAAAAAAAAAAAAAAAAAGTATTCTCTCTCATCCAATGAAAGAAATTGCAATGCAAATCTGTTTACTTGCTACCCATTTATTAACTGGATGTCAATGTGCCCTTTGAGCACTACTTCAATTCAGGGTCACTTTCTCAATACATGAAAGCAACTTTCCCCCTGTTCAGTTCTATACCTCCAACTTGTGTTGGAACTCCAGCTGAACCGGTCCTCTCAACAGCTGGGATGAAATAACTCCCACTCATTAGGCTATATGCAAACAGTGATAAAAGGGAATATAGAGTCCTGTTATGTTGAGCAACTAAGAAGCAAACCTTTGACACAAAGCAGCAGGCAGATAATAAGACTCTGTGGTTGACAACAAATGAGACTACACTTAATTTGCGGTGCAGTGTTCGTGTAATTAGATACATTTGGAACAGGCAAGAAAGTCGACAGCTAGAATATGGTCATGATGAATTGGGGGACCCTCTCTCAGGCTCTGATCATATTAATCATAAAGCCCAAGCTTCGTGACTCCATTTTTCTTCAGAATATAAGACTTTCTTGGTTTCCCATAGGGAAAGTATGCAGCAGTTTGGGAACAAAATTCCTTTTTTTATATAAATTTTAATCATTGTGGTTATAATGACATAGTAAAAATACTG